AATAGTTCATATTATTTGAATTTCCAACATTATATTACATGCAAACAAGGTTCAAAGTATCAATACATCCAATACACATGAACAGGCGTATAGGGTGTTTCAATGCTTAATAACAATTTTTTAGTTTTTATTTATTTTTTTCAAAATTGCTTCAGGTGGTTGGTTTTAGGCATGCCTATCTGCTGAAACCACTCAAAATCTGAAACACCCCTTATTTGAGGTATCAGAGACTTGGCGATATGATACATTATGCCTGATACGGGGCGTGTCAATTTGAAATTTTGAACCTTGCCTGCAAAAAATGTGGTCTTAAATGTTTCCTTTATTACCAAGTAATATTTGACATGAAAAATGACATTCTTCTTGTACATTAGCTGTGCATTTATGCCAAATAAGCTAAGTGATGAGATGTCAAATAGAAGTATCCCCCGGAGTCTGTGGAGTGTCAGACTCCAATGTGAGCCTGACTCTCTACTTGGGTCTGAATCACTCAACAAGATACTGTCAACCAGATCACTAAAGGCTTTTCCAATCCGAAACTTACATGGCTTACCAAGAAAGCATCCATCAAAATATAAATTTTCCCATCCCTCCTTGGGTGCCACCCAATTAATCCTAAAATTATTGTAGGCCAAGATCGTACCCACATCACATGTTCCAAGTTTCAAACTTAATATCATTATCATCACCATCCATGCCTTGTCCCAATTATATGGGGTTGGCTACATGAATCCTGTTTTGCCAATTCGTTCTATTTAAAGCCATATCCATTGTTAAAGTGCTAAAATCAGTTCTTACTACTAGCCATGTCCTCTGTGGTTTACCCTAGCTTTTCTATCCCCTTCAATGTGTAAAAGGCCGTATTCTCAGTTGATGGAAGATTTTAGAGCTTCATTTTAACTTGTGAATCATGTGAGTATTGAGTACACTAGCAAGTAGTCGATATGAGGGGAGCTTCCTCCTTGCATTTTGGTTTGTATATGCTTGTTAATCATACTAAAAGTCTAAGTTTTATATTTCATTTGTAGGCTATACATCCACTTTGAGAAACAATGTACGTTCTCGTGCATGGGGTGCTGCAATTGGTTGTAGTTATCGTGTTGAAAGATGCTGCATTGTTAAGGTAATTTTAACATAAAATGTATTATGCTAGGCTAAGCATTGTATTGTTAGCACTGATATTGGGCTTCTTACTTTTCCTGTTTTATCTTTTCTTTTTTTTTTTTTTTTTTCTTTTGGTTGGGGGGGGGGGTTGAGATAAGTTGTTGATGCAAAAGAGAATGAATTGGTTCAAATTAAGATATGAAACTTCATGTTTCTAAAAGTAAAGCTTTAATACGTGTTTTACCATTTTATACATGCATTATATTGATACTTCTATATCTTATTTTATTTAGAATTTTGAGAAATGTATCCTTATCTAGTCACCCATGTGATGCTTGGCCTTGACAGCTGAAAATGCTTATGTATCAGCTAACACCTTGACTATGCTTTTGAGCTTTTCTACATATATCGTCTCTCCTGCAATGGTTGGATTTTCAATACTGACAGTGCTTTTTCATTTTAGTTGGAGATTCTATAACCATTTTCTCTGCTTTCGTTTTTTCAAATATTGATGTTCTTGGGATTAGCATCATGTCTTTCTAGTTTCCTGGTGGCTGTTAGGGGGAGCAGGGACTTGTTGGAGGTTCATCTCTTGGGGGTCTTGAGCAAGTAGAAGTTTGAGTTTGGGTGTGATAGTATTTCTTCATTTTAGTTGGATTTGATATGGGGGCTTGAGGGCTTCTAATGGTATCACATTAGTTGGTTCTATGTTTCTTTCCCAGTCTTCTATTTTTTCTTCTAACTTTTTTTCTCTATGGACCTTGTGGCCCAGTTCTTGTATCTCACTTTATTATTCTTTTTTGAGAAGAAGTAAAAAAACTCACTTTATTTCAGAACCTTTATGAATGAATCATCTTGTTTGTTATCAATAATAAAGGGCGCGGGGGGGGGGGAATAGAATTTTCCTACTGCCTGTCTTTTCTATTATTCATGTCTATTTATTTTAAGAAACCTTGTAAATTTCTGCCCTCAACATCATCATCTATCTTTTGTTGTGTCTTTTTTCTGATGCTTAATCTAACCCTTGCTAGTTTAATACTTTTCTACAGAAGGGTGGCGGTACCATTGATCTTGAACCTTGTTTAACTCATACATCAGCCGTGGAGCCTACTTTGGCTCCAGTAGCTGTTGAACGGACAATGACTACAAGAGCTGCTGCATCGGTATGACTTGCATCTTTTTCTTACCATTTCTTCTCTTGGTTTGCATTCATTTTTTTTTTTTTAATTCTGACTGTTTACCCTCTCAACCATGTTCTGTTACAAGAGCCAAGTGTTGCGGCAGAGAAATGCCATACTCGTTTTCTCATGAGCCATTGCTGTGTGCTATTAGGCAATGCCAATTAAACACTTGGTCAGCAGCATATTGCCATGTGGGCAACTGGACATGTTGTAGATAGGCAGTTGTCAGTTGTCATAAGTCATAACCCTAGATTTAAACAGGAAATGGGAAAAAGGATAGATTAGATAAACAGTAAGCATCATATTTAACTTGATTGTTGCACTAATGACGTGGGGTTCTGATATCAACTTCATATAGAATAGCTTTAGAGATGATCAAATCTCTTACAGATAATGAAATAGGATAGAATAAGGCAGAAATAAGATAGTCAGAGGAGTCCCATCCCTCATCTTGAACAAGTATGGAGTTGCAAGCTCAATACAGAACCATCAGTGGCGTTGAACCAAAGAAGTAAAATTCTTGAGCATAACACCCAAGGAAAAGTAGCTGAAAAATTCTTCATTCCATTCTCACCTTTCTCTTCTATACTACAATACTGTATACCAAGGATTAAAGTATTGGTATTGGGTATCGTATTGGACTGCCTGGATATGGATACGGATACGCTTTGGAAACACATGGATGCGAATGAAAAAAAAAATGTATATGCTTGGATAAGCTGGAAAATGCATGCCAATTTTATAAATATATTTGAAAAAAAAATCTGGAGTTCTAATGCATGCATAGGAAGAAAAAAAAATCAGGAGTTCCCTTATTATAGAAAGAGATATACTGATTTAGATAACTGCCATGGGAGACTTCGTGGAGAAAGTGGAGGGAGGTTTTGTGGAGAAAGTAAAATGGAGGTCAGCTCTGAGGATAGAGGCCAAAGAGTTTCTCTTCGAAGAGATACAGATCAAAGGAAGAATGGGTTTGAAAGTAAGAGAACAGAAGAGAGCCACGGTCCTTGTGGAAGGCTCAGAAATGATTGAGTGGGTGAAAGAGTTTGTCTCTGATGCAGCTGCTAAAGGGAAGCAGAAATGTTGGAAAGAAAATTTCTCAGGATCAGGTAGGAGGTATGTGCTGGAGAACAAGAGTAATGCAAAAGGTGCATTTATGGTGTTTTTTGTCTTCCTCAAGGGAAGAATGATCAAGGGTGGAGAAGGATTGCTGGGACACTAACAAATTTTCTAAATAGGAGAATGGAGAATAAAGAGAATATGAATGTTGATGAAAGGGGATAATGATCAGAAACCAGAAGCCAGTTTTTGTGTAAAAAAGAGGATACAAACAAAAAGTTTGTTGTCATGGCAAATAGTAGGAGGGACCCTTCATTGGTAGCAGAGGGGACAAAAGGAAAATGGGATAGAATGCTAGTGGTTGAAGCTAGAGGGGTAGTGACAGACTGGTGGAATGTTGCAGAAATGTTGAAGAGCAAGATGGAGCTAAGAAGCACCTTTATTGTGGCTTCGTTTGATCCTGCTAAGGCAGTGTTGGACCCTCTTGAAAAACAGGTAAATGTTAGAGCCCTAAGTATCCAAGATGATCTGGGAACCTTCTCAGTTTTTAAATGGTCGTTTTCATCAAATTCAAAAGTGTTCTCAGTGGAAGATAATGCAATTGTTCGAGTGCTTGGGTTGCCATTCTATCTCTGGAATCAAAAAACAGCAAACTCAATTGCTTTGTTGTGTGGAGCTCGCCTTGATGGTGTTTTTTGGGGAGACCTGCGAAGTGCAGCCATTCTACTAGCTGGTGTAAAACCAGAAGATATATCGAGGAAGGTGAATGTAGCTGTGGAGGGTTTGTTCTTCCCAGTGT